TGGAGTTCAACAGCAAATTGATCACATCAGATGGCGCAAAGAGAATTGCTGCGATGCTGCAAAACACCGTCGAATTTTTAGATGAGTTGCCGAAGCCGAAGGCTATGGAAGATCTTTCGCAAAGGCTCCACCCATCCTTGCAATTGCAGGATTATTCGACTATGGTGCGCCGACGTGTGTTGCAGTGTTTTTCGAAGCTCGTGCATGTCCATCCACCCAGTCATGGGGACATTATTTCTCAGTCCAGACTTCTCAGCTTGGCTATTTCCTCATTCGCTGACCCGGATGCCCAGTACAAGCAACTTGAAAGCTCCATTTCTGGCTCCGCTGGACAATTCGATGGTCTATGGGATTTATGTGATAATTATGGATTTGGTGTCACTGGAATCTCCCGAGAATATAGTCGTGCCACCCTGTCTGGCAACCAGGAAGATGAGAAAAGTCCCGCCTGGTCTGCGCTTGATTCCGTGGACCAAGTTGTGGATGATACCTTAACTTTCCCTATTTGTGAAGCCAGCGAACATGACGCGGTTCTCTTATACAGTTTGCGAGATGGAGATAAACTTGCCGTTGATCCCCCAACAACAGGAGTTGTCAACTCAGCAATCGACTTGTTCTCTGTGGCCCTCGCTCTTCATTCGTCCAAAATCCAGGAAAGCAGTGTGGAACAGATCGCTACATTCCTCACTTCTCCCGGATTACAAAGAAACCCCGGCAGGAAAGCAGCATTGGTCGTCAACATCTCGGTCGCTCTTTTGCAAACTTTGAAAGTTGCTGTTAAGGAGACAGACTTTGTGCCTGGCAAGCTAAATCCGTCCACTGATAAGATTTTGCAAGAGCTTCTCCAGAAGTTCGTTATAGATGCGGATCCAATTGTTCGTACAATCGGCGCTGAAGCACTTGGACGACTTTGTGACAGCGCTGGAAATACGTGCACCAATACCCAGGTTAATTGGCTTGTTGATACCATCGTCGCGAACCGAGAGCCTAATGCTAGAGCTGGCTGTGCTGCTGCCCTAGGATGTATCCATGCTCAGATTGGCGGAATGGCAGCTGGTCTGCATCTGAAGACGATTGTTGGCGTTTTAATGTCTTTGTGTAATGACCCTCACCCCGTTGTACATTTCTGGGCTCTTGGAGGCTTGGAGAGAGTTGCCAACTCCGCTGGTTTGACATTCTCACCTTTTGTCTCCGGCTCTTTGGGGATGCTTGCTCAACTCTATATTGCTGATACCCACAACGAGGAAGCAGCCGCGTTGGCAACATCCAACATTGAAATGTCATTCTTAACACCTGTCGTGATCAGTCGATGTGTGGACTCTCTCATTAATGTCCTCGGGCCGGACTTGCAGGACATTGCGAAGACGCGAAATCTCATTCTGACCCTACTTCGCCAATTTCAGTTGGAGGAAAACCCAGCATTGGTGACGGAAAGTTCCAAATGCTTGGACCACTTCTCGATGTATGCTCCCAGCTATGTCGACCTTGAGGTATACGTGAAGCGACTGCAGACCGAGCTTCGAGCAAACAACTTCCTTATGCGGGATGTGGCAGTTCGTGGACTTAACAATCTCATGAAACGAGACGCACCGTCTGTGATACAGACGGTGGGCCACTCTTTGGAAGATGACATCTGGCTTGCATTCGATGAGGCACCAAACAACAAGTCGCTGAAGTCAATGATTCAGGACTGGCTACAGCAGACTGCTTTGACGGAAACTGAGATGTGGATCCAACGCTGTCAGAACATTATGACCAAGACACGCCACAACGTGGAAGCACCTAGCACAGCTGTTCAAACTGCAGCTGCAGATATCCCCGATGACGAGGTTGCGGGTTTTGCCTCGGCTGCTGGGGAAGGGCAAGGTGACACTGCGAACGAGAGCATATCCGGCCAAGAATTATTGAAGTGGCAGACCCGCAACTTTGCCATGAGCTGTCTCTCCGAACTTCTAGCTACCGTTCAAGAGGCGATTCTCCCAGACTCTGCTATCCCAGCAGAGCTAGCTCTCCAGAAAAACGTGGGAGATATTGTGAGGATGGCCTTTTCGGCATCTACTGCTAATGTCATTGAGCTGCGCATATGGGGATTAAAGATCATCGACCAGGTTCTTACCATGTTCGGCAAGACACCGGATCCTGATTTTGCGGAGGCCTCACTCCTCGAGCAGTATCAAGCTCAGATCGGGTCTGCACTTACTCCTGCCTTTGCTGCTGATTCCTCAGCGGAGCTAGCCTCAGAGGCTATTAATGTGTCTGCGACTTTCATTGCTACAGGAATCGTAACAAATGTTGACCGCATGGGGAGAATCCTGAAGCTTTTGGTTCTGGGATTGGAGAACTTCGCGAAGAACCCGGAGACTACTGAAATTGGCGATCTCAAGGGTCTAAATTCAAATGCTCGGGTTATGGTCAAACTTGCTCTGTTTTCGGCCTGGGCCCGGCTCCAGATCGCAAGCATCGACCATGAGTACTTGACCCAGGTGGTCCAGCCTTATATTGCGAAGCTCACACCTTTATGGCTTGCTTCTCTTCAAGAATATGCTCGATTGCGCTTTGAGCCAGACATATCTGGCAGTTTGGGGACAAGCTCGACCGGTGACTTGGATGAGGTGTATGCCGCGTTGAATCGTGAGACTTTGTTAAAGGTAAGTCCTGGTCTGCCTACTGTATACGGCAGACGCTAATAACATATTCAGTTCTACCAAGACACGTGGTTGTACTTGGTTGATGCAATTGCTGGGCTCGTCGAGAAAGATATTGACTTTGTTTTCGATGCTTTGGATGGCAAGTTACAGCTACCCGAGGAGCCTAGCGGCGCTGAAGGTGAGGAGAAGCAAAAAAAAGTGGTCAAGAAAAAGGAAGACGAAGGGAAAGGACATGACATTAATTATCGCGAAGAGCCGGTCGCATTCTTCTTTGTCTTGTTTGGACTGGCTTTCGAATCTTTGGTTGATCAAGGGACTTCAGCATCGCAACGATTGGAGATCCTTCAGGCCCTGAAGCGAATCCTGAGGCCTGTCATTTGTGGAAATGCCATTTACCAAGATGCAATTTTCACAGAGACCATGGATAGTTTCGACCGTCTTGTGTTGACAGAAGCTACCCCCATCCAGACCGTCATTGTCGAGATTGCCCAAAACCTGTCCCTAGATCATCCCGCAGCAAAGGGTGATTCGGAACGCAGTGACCATCTTTCTGATGACATCGAGCAACTCTTCGAGTTAACAAGAAGCATTATTCTTGTTCTTGCCGGAATGCTTCCAAACCTCCGCGAATCGACGCCACTCGCGCGATTCAACGTCACTTCGGATGAGTCTTTGACTCTTATTCGCTTGGCACTACGTTCTCTCGTCGAAGTTGCATCCGTATTCCCATCCATCATTCGCAACGACCTCCATGCTTGTATCCTACATATTTTCACAACTATTCTCGCGACTGGCATCTGCCAAGCGGGGGTGGTTCCGCAGGCTCTTCCCATCTTCAGGCAGTTTATCCACGGTATTACCCACCCAACGGAATCACCCGAAGGCCTTGAGGTCGTGTCATTCCAGCTTCGAGGATGTCTCACGCGCTTCCTGACTATTCTCACCATCGCTCAGCGACGGGAATCGGATATCTCTATCCCCTGCGCCAAGAACACACTCCTCGCCATCACTTTCCTCCTGACTGCCGGCGCACACGTTATCCCTCCCCAGGAGCCAGTCCTGATCCGAGTCCTCGATGAGTTACTTGATTGTCTTCAAGACGTTGGTCTTGCCACCGTAGCCGCTAGCTGCATCCGTTCAATCCTCGTCAAGCCAGGTTCCCGTTCGATCACAGACGAAGTCATTGGCCGATACCTCACCCCGCGACTAATTGCCTTTATCGTTGCCTGCCCCCTCGACAATGGTGATATCCCTAGCGACCCCGAAAATTCCCGCACAGTGATTGCTCGCACACTCGTGTCGTGCATCTCCAACGGCACTTTCTGCACTTCTGAACTGCCCGTCGCTACATCCCTCATCATGTCGGCGCTTTTGGCACGCGCCAAGCGTGAAGGCGAGTCGGTGCACCAGGAATCCGCGGGCCACCTCCTCGAGCTTGCCAAGGCTGACCAGCTTACTTTCCGGACGCTGGTGGCTACCATGGACGCAGACCAGAAGTCACTTTTAGAGGAGGTTCTTCGTAGCGTCGGTGTCGGAGCTGTTTCTTCGAAGACTGGCGCCGATGTGGCAGACAATGCTCCGCAAGCTGCGCCGAGTATAGCACTGCGCATGGATTTCTAGGAACCTTATATGGTATAAAAACCAAACGAAACACTCTTATGATACAGTTAGATGCATACAAATATTTATATTACAATTTCGGAGAACAGGCAAAGTATCAAGTGCAAGCCAGTTATATACAAACCGTTGTAGAGCGCCAATATCGAATATCGACCAGTACCGGAGCTTATTGTATCCCTACCCAATACATCAGGTGACCTTCTCATTCCCATCTCAGTTGTATCTTCGTGTCTACATAGACTTGAATTGGGATCATAGTATGGTCTAATCCGATATTGCGAGCCAGTCTGTTTGAGAAGTCGAAATACCACTGGACCGTGGTCGTGCCTCCCGGGCATGCACCTCATGCAGGAAACAAGACTAGATGCTACGAGGCTGCACTTCCTGGACGAGCATGTAAACCTCCGTTCATAGGTCCCTAAAATGGCTATATAACCGAAATAAAAAAACAATAGAGAAAGGACAAGTGAGGACGCCCTGCTACAATATATAGAAAAGAAAAAAAACCTATAACTTCCTAGTCAACTCATTAATACAGGTTGAAGATGCCTTCCATGGGTTCTAAGATGTGGAGCCCTCGGATCTTCTCACAAAGGATGCTGCAATGCATGGCAAATTTCTGCAATATTTTCGAAGCCAGGGTAAAATCAAATCTCATTCGCAGTAGCTTAAGATACTTTAGCCAACAGGATCAAAGCAGACAGTAAATGGAATAGAAATAGCCAATCCTTCTTAGACCCACACCCATCCGATGTAGAGGTAATTTCCATGCCGACCTTGATTAATATCAGAGGTTAGACCATCCCAGCCGAGGCTGATGATATGATTATGGCTGATCACGCTCTCACTGCGGAACAGCGCAATACGACTTATGTTCTGGCTGCCACCGGTCTGAAAGTGCAGGTACCGGTAGTCTCCTTTCGCACCTTTGGCGAGATCATCATAGCGGGCATCCTCTCCATCTTGAATGCTGATGGAGATGCCGGTGACGTTGGGGCTGGAACCGTATATCGGAACGAGCCAGACATATCTTCCAACGAAAGGAGAATGTTAGTGCTTCTGATTCCATCTGATAGGCAGTGGAAGGGTATGAAAGGACTTTGCTTACTTTCCTTCGAAACCTTTGTTGATGTCGCCGCTGGTATGAGTATAGACTTCTTTGATGGAGTCAGAGGGCTCCGAACTGGGATCATCGCCATAGACCACCTGAGAAGGGTGTCATGATACCATTGATACGTGGACTGTTCTTGTGGCGGAATGCACTTACGTCGATATCGTGGAGATAATACATGGCTCTCGGTGCTTGCGCGTCAGAAAGATAGTTGCGGATGTTTCTTTTTGAGGTGGGTAGATTCAGGTTGGGAATAACTGTAGAATGTACAGATACACATCTTGATGCACCAAAGAGCAAATGAGTGCAGCTGTTCTCAAATTCAAAAGTTTTGGAATTGATAAGCTTGTGAAGGATCTCGAACTTTCAGAACTGGGCAACAGCATTGCGGCGATGTTGGGAGAACTGACGAGCAACAAAAGAAAAGATGTTGATGGTAAGTCCTTTATAATTTCTCCTTATTTTCAGCGATTTATATGCTTATCACATATCCGAATAATATGATAGTATATATAGCTCGCGGAAATCACCGCGAATGGCATTATACTCGCCCATACCAGCTCGCGCTTTACAGTCAGTTCTATATAAGATGCCGCCTAGCGCAATGGCAGCTGGTACCTATCCATCCCTTGCTTTGATACTCGCTTTTATTGATACAAATAACAGATCACCATGCTCTTAGTGATCCTATCGAGCGTCTGATGCCAAATTAAGCGCAGGAGTATGCTGATAGTCATGGGATATATAATCAAAATGCAAGTGGTCCTATTTCGGATGACTACATTGTCCCATATCCCCCTTTTAACACTTGTATGGTCTCTGTCAATATTCAATTTTATATAAGCTAACTATGGCCAGTTGAGCTGAGCTCTCCTGCGTATTCGGAGCTTTTTAAAAGTCCCTATTCTACCTTTCGGATACCTTGCGATGAGTGATATCAGCATCTAAATGTAGAAGGATGTAGGATGTATTGTGATCGCTGAATTGGAAGCCAAACTTCGGCCGCGTTCTGAACTACTGTCTTGACTTTTGTGCACTCAGGCCGATTATCATCGCCGGGATAAGCCCAAATGTGACAATAACCACGGGGAAGTCGCAGGGCCCACAGCCCCGCTGTAGTAGCTTTATCGGAGCCCTGAAGATGCACATGGTCCTTGCTGGTGAGCCGAGAAGCACCAGTGCTGCAACATACTACACAGTCAAAGGCGGGATGTAGGTAATACCTAGAACGCATAACCCGGACAGCTATACAGATGAGGTGCCTTAGGTTAAGGAACAGTAGATGCATTCTAGTGCGAAAATGAAGTTATGATTCTTGTTATCTGAGTTTATTGTACATAGGTAGGCCGTGAAAATAAAGATAGGCTTTTGTCTATTGGTGTTGATACAATGGGTGTAAAAGAGCTTGGTCAAGTGATACATAAGACCTGAGAAAAAGAAAAAAAAAGAAAGAATATGTGGCTGATGCTTATAAGACATGGGGAGTGGAAACTGTCAAATAGATAAACGAAAGGAGTGTGTTCGTCGCGTAGGATGTAGTATGTTCAAGATCTCAACCAAGGGATTCGCCGAGATGCGCTTCAGCAGACGGAGTGTCCGTTTGAATGCCACTATCTTGGACGACTCGAGTTTCAGGGGTGGTTTCTTTGGTAATGACCGGATGCTCCATTTTCTTGGCTTTCTTAGGCTCAGGCTCCTTGCGCGTGGAAGCATACTTCAAGAAGACGATAATCATGACTTGTGACGGGGTTAGCTAGATGAGAAATCCAATTGGGGAACAATGTGGCACTTACAAGCACAGATAGCAATTGTCAGAGCAGCGCGTCTGGTCAAAATCCATCGGAGACCTTCGATCTCACTCTTTCCATCACTGTTCAGCGATACGGTGATCTTATAGTTCAATTCCTGAACTGAGGTGTCGATGCTACGCTGCTGCTCTCGGGTGGTCATCTTGTGATCATTGAACATGCCCTTGATGTCGTCTTTCATGCCTGCAAGTTCCTGGCTGAGACGCTGGGAAATTATATCCGTTTCATGCTGCAACTGTGTGCGTGATGAGCGCTGATGCTGTATTTCCGAGTTTCGAGCTGTCTGAAGCGACGATTGAAGCTCAGAACATGCTGCTTTGAAGAGGTATTCCTCATTCTCGACATCGGATTTGGAAGTGAGGGTCTGTCTGGCAAGGGAGAGGTTGTTCTGTAGGATAGCCCGCACAGCCTTCATGATTGTAGTAGACTGTTCCTCGCTGTATCCTCCTTTCGATAGATCCTGCACCAATGAATATGTGTCGAAATGGTGTACATACGGTGCTGGGGACAAATGCGGCGGGCGATCATCGGACGAGGGTTCCCCGGTTGGGGATAGGTAAACAGACGGCGAGGGCATGTGGAGGACATGATCGAACGGAGTTTGGCTTGTGAACGCGGATGTATCTGTACTTTCTTCCGATGGGCCTTCGGAAGGAGGGGGCGAAGAAGCCGGAGCCTGTTCCTGTTCGGCACTATCTATATTTGTTCCCTTCTCCTCGTGCGGTTCCCGGTCCGTTGGGGGGTTGTCTTTCTTTGTGTCGGACTCAATTTGCTGATCAAGGGCTGGTGTCGCCGAAGAAGCCGTATCTGCGGTGTTTTGCTCGGCATCCTGTGGTTGTGTGTCCGACTGTGACTCTTCCGGCGAAGCTGCCTCCGACTCGGAGGCATTTACAGCCTCACCGCCAGCAGATGGATCCTCTGGCGCGTCTTGAACCTGGTCATTTGAACCCTTCTTCGGACGCAATGAGGGAGAAGTATTCGGTTCAACGGCTGGGCCGTAACGCCGCTGATACGCATCGCGCTGGTGTTGCTGGCTCGTATGAAATCGTTGATTGGGCCGGTATGGGATTCGAATTGAGCGGTATGTTCTCGGTTCGCATGATCGCACAGCACGCATCAAATTCGGATACAGGAACGGCAGCCTCGGTGTCGCCATGGTGGTAACCAGCATATGGAGAAGCTAACTTTCTTTCCCGCGGGGAATCATCAACGTCACCCGTCTCCGGCGATATATGATGAGTCAGCTTTGCACGTGCCGATTTTGAGGAAGTTTTGATTTGTTTATTTATTTTGTCTTTTGCCTGTAGACATGGGCAAGCGATCGAGGCTTTAGATTTGACCAATCTCATTCTAGATGTCTGGATTTACTCCGTAGACCTAGAGCATCTCCAGTTGCCTACATGATGTTGGTATCCAAGCTATCCGAGCTCGGCAGGATCTGATTGGTTGCTGGTCTTGCTCTTCACACCCTAGGGATATTCGACACTCCATTTATCGTTCCTTGAAAAGTATGGACCAAGGTCTAAACGTTGCAGGTGCTGGATCGGAGTAGGTGTATTCTGATAAACTGGCAAAATGTCTTTCAGCCCTAAGACTGCCGTTTCATACTAGGCCATTGAAATTTAAGGTCTCTGGGTTTCCTGTATATATGATTATAGGGTAATACTGTAATGGCAGTGCGGCGAATATTTTCTAGGGTATTGCTATATAGTTCCACCTATGAGGTATAGTAGGACTATGCTTCGAAATTCCACATATATTGCTATATAATCGAGTTAAGTGCCCACGATACTAAAAACGTGTCACTTTCGGATGGCTCAATTACCGGGTTACAGGCTTGCAGCGGATTGGGAGCCTTCCTAAAATAGGGAACTACAATTAGAAGACTATAAGGTCTTTGCTTCAGACTACAATAGGCCCCAGGGAGACCAGCTGATTATGAGAGAATTTTAAGCAATAACCTTGCAAATACTCAAAGCTAAGATGCATCAAAGTGTATTGAGATAAGAGGCTCAGAAACAAAGGTATACGAAGTATGTGCTGCAGTGAGGTATATAAATGTATCAAAGAAGCTCATTCTTATTGGCCATCTAGATATCGTTATATATATTTCGCAACATTTGTCTAAATGGCAAGTTTGTAGCAAATAAGGTTCTAGCTGATGTGGAACTATGGCTAGCAGCATAATAGGCAAACGGATCATCATATCATGGACATGATACCTACAGCCCGGAAGTCTACTTGCTAGAGATATTGTGGATTATAATGCTGGTTCTCTGTCTTTGATTGCTGTGACGGTAGCCCAACGAGCGTAGATCAGTTCGACTTGCTTACGGGGGATACTTAATTCTTCGAAGATACACAGTTCCCGCTATTCTAAGGTAGTGACAACCTGGCTTTGGATACGGCCGTGAGTTCCAAAACACCAATGGTCTTCTGGTCAGGGCTCTATACGCTGAGAAGTCTTGTGGCTTTCCTTTTATACTAGGCTTTGTAGAATTAGTCCTGTAGTATATTATACAAGTTACGATGAATATCTATAGTATCTCTGAGGCATGAGTAATGAAAATATAGAAGGAATTACATATATGCTATATCTAGAGACATATCGATAGGCCTCAGGCAGGTTCAGATACCAGCTAGAAGCAACAATGCAAGAGAAGTTCTAGAAGGAAATAGATGGGTACACGTGTGGATGTTTGTGTTTTGGACAAACGGAAATTTTAGGGAAAGAGCGATGGTCATGTCTGTATATCTCTAATTTGGAAGGTACGCGCCTTGAGACATATTCTCCAATCTCTCTTATTTTCTCTTTCACTTGTTTACATCTTCTTCCATACACATGTCAACTCAAGCTATCAATTGACGACGAACCCATCGTCTTGGCCCGGCTTTTCCAACCATTTTCCTAGTTCTGATTACCGTAAAAATCAAATCCCCAAAAAAAGAAACCTGCTTCCCTAGACGCGTTGGCGCCTACCAATCCCTAGCTGTGTCGACCAGCATACCAAACCGTAATCGACAAGCATTGAACTTTATGCCACAATGGCGCCTGTACAGACACCCTGGACCTCGATTCTGCTGCAGGAGAAGCCTGGACTGCACGAATACAACCATGCTCTGTCAAATGTCGAAAAGTACTACACTCGCTTGCATCGAGCTATGCAAGACGAATCCATCCACGACCAACTAGTTATCAACCCAGACCAGACACACTCGCGACTACTGAGATCCTTCGAAATATTGCGAGGCAAACAGCTGCCAGGCCCTGTTGCTGAGGAGATCTTCAAAGCCATGGTCCTCCCATTCGTTCATGACAACATCTTCTCACCATCACAAATGATCGAACTCGTTGGATCCGCTCTACCTCTCGTTACAAAGCAAAATTCTCAATTTATGCGAGACCTCGCCAATACTCTCCTCTCAGCACAAGGATTGTTTGATCACCTGGTGGCCAACGAAAAATACACTGTGGTTATCAAGGAATGGCTGTTGCCGAAAAGAAACCATCTTCCCCTTGCTCTCTCCAGACAGATTGGAGACAGGCTTATTGCCATGTGTAATGCCTGTTCCGCGGATCATGAAATGGAGACTATCGTTGAGGATTGGGGAATTGCTCAAATACTGATGGAATCCATCAACTCGCTCATTGAAACATCTTACGAAGAAGAATTGAAGCGGACCAAAGTGGAAAACTTACCTCCTCTAGAGTCAATGAAAGTATTCAATCGGGACGACAAAAAGTTGACATCAGCTCAGCAAGCCCCCAAAAGGGAATTCAAGGTCCCAGATGAGACCCTTATGCAAATGAAGCACTTCAACCTCCCACCACCATTGTCCGCTCGAGGCCTCACCCATGCAGCAGAGAATCTTCAAAATGAGATAATCCCGTCACTCATGCGCTCTGCCCTGGAAAGCTTCCCATGCAGAATCTGCTTGGATAGGCTCACAACTGGGAGTCTTACAGGCACTCTGGCCAGCTCGACAGACCTGCCTTCGGATCGTACTACAGCACCGGGAAATGCCCAAGACATTTTCGGAACAAGAGTTGGCCTTTGGAAAGTTCTGCTGTCTGATGTCGCTTTCAAGAATGCCAAAAAATTGGTCCGTGGAGGTAAGTGTCTAACATGATCACCCATTTGCCTTCAATATATGTAATATGATCATTGCTAATCTTATCAAGGTGACTTTGGCGGCGTGGAACAGAAGCTCAGAGATTTAGCAAGCGGCGAATGGAAAGGCAAAGATCTCTCTCGCCGGGTGGGATCTAAACAGCAGAAGAAAAGAATGCAAGTGCCAGTTTTGGAAGTGAACACTTCTGCAACTGTGTCGATCCTGTGGCAGGTCGATGTCGGATTCTACGATGAGCTTCCGTGGGTACAGCAGCAAATTGTCAAAGGTAAGTGTCTTTCAAAATTCTCACGACTTGGCGATTCATTCTAATTTGGCAGTTTGGCAAATCGTGACTTCGGTGGAGGAGGTATGTTTCTCAGTCGAACAACAGAATACGTCTGCTAACTTAGTTTTACAGCTGGAAACTGCCATCGAGCAAATACTTATTATCCAAGAATCCTACAGCCCGGAGCTTACTCAGCTCTGTTTGGAACGTCCTGTTCAACAATCCGATGGAACTTGGACGCCACAGAGGTTCGGAAACGTGAAAGAGACTGGGTCTTATCAGATGAAATCCATTGCTTCCTCCAAGATAACCCCAGCTCTGATTGAGATGTCAAGTATGGATTTATCGTCATCAATTCCATCCCAAGCCATGTATGTGGGTTATAAGCTAACCATGAGTTTCCAGACAAATTTTACAATCTCACTGAGCCGTTCTTGAAGTCGATCGTTGATGAAAAGGACACGGAGGAGTTTCCATTCGATCTCTCGCCCGAGGAATTAGAAATTGTGAAGCACTTCAGCACGTCAAGCTTGATCCTAGGACGAAGTGGCACAGGAAAGACAACCTGTCTGTTGTTTAAGATGCTTGCCAAGCACAAAGCAAGTCAATCAGGCTCGGATGAGCAGCAAGCTCGACAGGTATATCTCGCTTCTTACGATATTCGGATGGAAAATTGACATTGATAGCTTCTCTTGACTCGCTCCTCCTATCTGGCTTCAAAGCTTCAAACATATGCCAAAAGTCTGATAGATGCTCAGTCCAAGACTCTTTCGACCGGAGAAGATGTAGACTCAGATTTGAAACCGACTTCCTTCTTTGCCCTGAAGAATTGGCATTTTCCGGTTGTCTGCACTTATGACGAATTTCTTGGGCTTCTGGAAAATACCATAAGGTTTGAACATCTACAACGCCAACCTTCTAAATATTTTTCTTTGCTAACTTGAAGTAGAATGGCTGATCGTAAAGACTTCCTAAGAGACATCAATCCCAACAAGTCAAAGGGTCTAGACCCACAGGTGGGAGACAAGCCACAAGTGATTGACTTCAGCATTTTCAAAACAGAATATTGGGGGGCTCTAAGTGGATTAGTTCCGCCATCTTGTTCTCCGGAGCTCCTATTCGCAGAGATTATGGGCGTCATTAAAGGTTCTAGCATCACGGCAAAAAGCCTGAAGCCTTTATACCGTGCAGAATACGTCAAGAAGAACGCGAAGGCTTCTCCCGCCTTTAGCTCTGAGGCAGAGCGGGAGAAGGTCTTTGGAGCATTTGAGCGCTATGAAAAACAAAAGAAGCCTCGCAAGGAGATTGACGAGTTGGACCGCGTCAGTGCCTTGCTGAAGTCCCTGAGAGATAACAAAGTTCTAGCAGAGCAGATACAGCGCTGCTTTGAAGAGATCTACGTTGATGGTAGGTCGAGTGGTCGAGTTTCAAATATTTGAGAGCAAAGTACTAACTATGTGTGTAGAGATTCAAGACTTGCGTTGTCTCGACATCGTACTACTTCTAGGCTGCCTCAGTGACGCCCGTGGGATTCACCTTGGTAATATCACCCAAATGTCGGCACACGAGTTTAACCAACTAACCGAACTTAGCTGGCGATACTGCCCAGTGCATATCAAAAGATTCGGTTTTCCGATTTCCTGAGATCAAGGCTTTGTTCTACGAACATTACGAAGTCATTGCCAATGAACTACATCAGCCGTCATATGCCAAACCTGTCCAATTCTCTCTGGCTAAAAACTATCGCTCGCACCAGGGAATCTTAAGCTTTGCATCATGGGTTATGCAGCTACTCTGGCAAGGTATGAAAGTCACAAAGATCGGACTTGTGCCTATCTAACTATTTAGTATAGGATTCCCGGAAACAATTGACAAATTGGACCCCGAGATTGGACAGATTGGAGGACCGAGGCCAGTTATCTTTGGTATGCCTCATCGCCGCATTCGCACTCAATTACTCACATTTGTTACATAGCGGGATTTGACTCCTCGATTCTTTCTGCCAAAATGATAGGCTTGGTCAAGCTCAACGACAAGGTTGCCGATTTTGGTGCTGAGCAAGTCATCCTTGTCCGAGACGATGCATCAAAGGACAAGCTACAAACACAAATTGGCGAAATTGCCCTTGTTTTGACAATCCTTGAAAGCAAAGGTATGGAATTTGATGATGTCTTGGTGTATGACTTCTTCGGCGGCAGTGGGCTTGGCAGTAGCTACCGGTGCCTGTACATGCTTGTTCAAGCAGCAAGAGCGCAATTTGATTCTCAGAAACATGCAGTGAGTATTCCAAGAAATAACCAGCTAGTTATGATTGCTAACGTGTTCCTACTAGGCCTTATGCTCCGAACTCAAGGTATATCTATTCCTATCTATTTCTTTGCCAATGCTTCTTCTTGCTAACAATTATAATCAGTCACTTTACGTTGCTGTTACTCGAGCTAGAAAGCAACTTTGGTTTATGGAAACGCAAGAGAACAGCGTTGATCCCATTATTCAAACCCTGTTATTGAGCAACAGCCTCGAGCTCGCTGAAGTTGTGAAGCAGAAAGACCCTAACGCAAGTAACCTTCTAATTCAATTGACTCGCATACTCAATTTTCGCAGGTTGCAGAAAAGGTCATGGTTCTACGGGCTGGTGGCTCGGTGGACCCAGAAAGGTGGCTCAAGAGGGCAGCACATCTTCTCCATCGGAAGAGCTTTGCAGAGGTAAGATAGTGTTCGCCAACCCGGGGAGAGCGTCGTGCTGATAAGAGCTTAACAGGCATTATTCTGCTACAAGAAGGCCAATGATCCTCGAGGAATGACACACTCGCAGGCGTGTCTGCATGAGCAAGAAGGAAGATCCCATCGAGCAGCTGGAAATACTGAGGAATTCGCCGCATGCTATGAAAAAGCCATCGTTCTTTTCCTTCAGATTGGTCTCATTAATGAAGTGGCGATGTGCTACGAAGGTCTTGGGCAGTTTAGCAAAGTTGCAGGTTTGTTTTTCAATCGCGCTAAGTTTGAGGATTACTGACCTCTCTTCTAGAAATTTGGAAGGATCGGGAACAATATCAAAAAGCTGCGTATTTCTATGAGAAAGGCAAGCTCTTTACCGACGCTTCGAAGTGCTACCATTCTTGTGGTCAGTACGAGGCGGCAATCGAGGTATTGCGCCGCGGAGACCAGTTTGATGAGCTCGTCACCTATGCAAACAGGTTTTTACATCCTAGTTTCTCTATATTGATTACAAGATATTGACTTTATATAGGAATCGCGAGTACCTGAGCCCGCCAACCTTACTTCGTTACTCAAGACTCTGCAATATTCTGCTAAAGCAGGGACGTGTCTCTGCTAGTCTGAGGGCGATAACTATCAACATGCTTGGATCAGATGCGTGTAAGATTTCTTTTTTCCAAGAGTTTGAAATGTGGGATCAGCTGCGCGCGCTATACTCGTCAAAGGGTAGATGGTTTGAGTATTACGATCTATCGGTGACTGTTGGTGACATACCTGCGGCAATAAGCACATTGCTGGTCTACAAATTGATACCCGTGGTCGACAAGCCAGTTGTTGAAAAGCTGTTCAACTACTCCATGATCGAAGTCTTGTATGCCCACAGAGACATAATTCCGGGTAACCCTGAGCGAGATGGGCTGCTGAAATCAGTTAAATCAACTTTCCTCGAAAAGCTTGGGGCTCAGTGGAGAACACTCTTGCTGTTGATCGATGATTTGGAGGACGTGGATTCACCCGCTTCAGTTAAAAACCTGGATAAAGGTCTTCTGAAGGATGTCTTGTGTCTTTTTGTTTGTTTCCAATCTTGCCCACTTGTGGGTAGTGAGCTAATTATTTCTAGGTGATCGTATTTGAGCCGGGAGTGTTCACCAAGCGGAAAATCGAACATCTTCCCATGGATATTGTTATCCGAGTTGGAAAGCTACTGCATGACTCTTATGCTCGGAACAATTACTCTCTTATTTGCCTGGCAATGACTTGTGGCATTTTTACCAATCCAAAACAAGAGAACAAGGCGATCTTGCTTCCGTGGTCTCCGCTGAGGACCAACACAGCAAAGGCTCCCGATGAATCCTCATTCGAAAACTTGCTTGACATGGCAAAAGATCTCATTCAAGAGAAGTTTTCCGCAGCACTCACTCAGTTCCATGAAAGTGCATACAGTCTTATGAAGACGGAATTCCCGCCGACATGTTTCCAACAGCTTTACAAAGGCAAGCAATCACCGTTGATGCTCTTGGTTCGAACGTCTAACAATTTTAATCAGGATATTGTTCAAAGCTTAAAGCCAATGAATGCACCTGGGGCCATGAGAAGCCTACTGCTGAATTAGCTATTGCGAAGTTGAATGTGAGTTAAGAACAGAGAAGGAATATAAGATCGACTAACGGTTAATTCCCGCAGTGCCTTCTCACCGTGGCTGAGGTTTTTGCGCGGCTCACACCTATTTATTATCAAAGAGTCATGGGCGAGGCTTTCAGTAAACCTTTTCTGGGTCGTAGTAAGTGGTCGGTCCAATTTGGTCGTACGTTCCCTATCTGACATACTGTAGGGAGAACTTGGATACAACACATCCAGGAGGAGCTGGTGATTGTCAGTTCACTAGAGCAGTCCTCTACTGCAATTGCAAATTTACGCTCCAACTTGCAAAGCAATTCAGAGTTTGCTGCAACTGCATACTGCCTCGAAGACTTGCTGTTTTATCGTATGAACAAGGAATGGGGTTCGATGAGCAGCCTTAGCTCTGCTCTAGAGAAGGTGCAAGAAGCCCAAGTTCTCGGTATTATAAACTCTTATTTCTGAAAGATTAGAAACTGGGTCTAATACTTAATCTAAATTTGCAGGCCCTCACCCAGCCACGCGTTTCCAGCGAGCACTTATTCTGAATATGGATCGCAGCATGCCACCACGCCCGAGGAGAACCGGCCATCCGCTTGCGCTGCCTTTGACAACTTTGAATGCTGCTGAGAGGATTCGGTCGGCGGTCGGAAGACGCCACGGTCAAGACTTTGTGAGAATCTTATCAATATCGTCAGGTATCTGACTATACTAACCTTTTTGTAGCACAATGGCGTCAATGCCTTTCTCGTCTGTCTTGATAAAGCACCTAAGTCCTCTCTTGGGTCGTTCCATGCTGTTCTGTCTGTGCTCGAGTTTTCAGCTACATACGTTGTATGTGCCTAGATCCCGTCGATGATATAACATGTTACTAATACCACCAGCTTTGTATTGCCAACCCAGGAAAGGGCATCGTAATTCCGTGGTCCTGGGCTTTGCAGCATCTTTCGACAATTATGCAATCACCCGCCAAAGACCATACGTTCAAGGACAGAGACATTCGAGTGCACACAACCGACTTAATCAACATGATCACCAGCTTCTGCACCCTCATGGAAAATGTCGAAAATGCCCTTACCAGCGGGGTTCTCAGATTCCAGGGAATGGGACGCAGTGGCCTTCCAATTCCTATTATCAAGCGGCGCTGCACTGAGCTTCTGACTACTGTGAATCTCAACCTGAACCATTGGCCCAAGCAGCCAATTGGCTTTAAGGAAATGGAGAAGGTCGTCAACAAGGTATGTGTCTTTGTTGATAGTGGTATTTCGTAAAACAAGGCTAACTGGATATATAAAACAACCAGACTCTCCGATCCCTTATTCCACCAGGAATGGCACTAGAACTTTCCAGCAGTGATAGGTTCCGGCAAAGTTGCATCCGTGAATATGCAGCCTACAAGCAGAAAGACGAGCTGTGCGTCATTGCCCTTGATGACAGAAAGTCGGCCCCTCTGTTTCTGCGGTCTTTCACACAAGCCAATGCGAAATTTGCTCAGCTCAGTGATATCTTGAAGGTGTCACAGATTGCCGAGAACCCCCTGTCTATGGGTCTGGGGGAAGATTGGCAAGTTGACGAATACACCGGTTACGAGCTTGATATGATCATGAATCTTCAGCGACGCTGGCGACAGGTGATGGAGGTCCTGGAGAACAACCGCCGCAGGACACAAACCCGCGAGGGCAAACTTATCCAGCACTTCCATGAGGTGTGCACGATACGGATGAGCACGCAGCCCGGAGCTTCTTGGTCAACCCGAGACAAGATACACATGCGCAAAGTGATCTTTACAGACGGTATTAAGATCGCCATGTCGCTTGAAGGTGTTTTGGCCAGCTTCCGACAACTAAAAGACCGGTGGAGGCAACAATTCGATAGTAAGTGGTCCGCCGCGAAGCTAGAGGAACTCTCTGTAATCCGTGGGCGGATTCTGCCAATTGATGGGCAGCTTGAGTACATTGTTGAGCACTGGTCTCCTAAGGGCATTGAGGATGCTATGATGATTACCCCGGCCGAGGAACTCGGTATCTCATCCCGTGAGGCACAACGCGCCCTCTGGGCTGTTCAGCGCGAGATTGAAATCATTCAATCTCAGGTTGAGATCATTGCGAAGAGTGCTGACCGGTAAGGGGGTTTCCCCTGAGGGTCAACAACAAAAACTACAAAAACATTTGAAAACAAAATAACACCAAAAAAAAGTTAACTGGGGATGATCTTTGCAGGACGACGGAAATTTCTTAATCTGTGATCATTTTATGGCTCGATGAGATACAATTGTATGAAGTGGAATGTATGATATCTTGTCTACATACTCTGAAATGGATTGCTGTCTGTGTACTATGTAAACAATGTATTATGTATTCTCTATTCGAAGATAAAACCAAGTACATTATTGTATGTACTGCTTATGGAAAGGATAATGTAAGGCATATACGGGGTATTTGGCAACATGCAGCAGATCCCTAGAGAACCAATCAGTGTCCTGCCAGGAGACCAAACAGCAGCTCTGTCCGAGTCCAATACTCAGTTGCAAGCCTCTTGATAGTCTTAACAGTCTCCGCGTTGGCACCAGAGCTCTTCTGAGCGCGCTCGATGGCACCGGACAGCTGGTTCCGCTCGCCGAGCATCTGAGACAGATACAGAGAGTCAAAGAAGAGCTGAACCTTCCAATCGCGCAGGGCCTCGGCTTGATCTGGACCTGGGCCTGGGGTCTCTGATTTCTCCGTGGTCTTATCTTCCTTGTCCTTATCTCCGTTGGCAGTGGAGTGGCCATCCTTGACCTTAGCTTTTCTAGGGACATCTTCGCTATCGAGATCATCTAAAGCAGACGAGATAGCCGCCTCAAGTCTCATTTTCAATTCCAGCTTCAACGCCTGCATAGTGGACGGATCCCATAGGTCCAATCCGCAGATATCCATTGAGGAAGTGAGACGACGCAGGAGCTTGAAGCTTGAAGCCGAGGGCTGAACCGGTATGGCAGGCTCGCCTTCCCAGAGTGATCTACCGGGGACGGTCTTAATCTTTCCAGTCTGGGGGTTCGTCTTCGGTAACGGGATCAAGGATAGGGATCCAGCCTTTGCCACTACTTCTGTTGCAAGCAACTTCTGCAGATCAGGGACGATTTCGCTAGAGAAGACAAAGTCTCCAGATACAAAGCCTGCGGGAATATCTCGCCGGACGAGTCTTATTAGCCTTAGTAGGAAAGTGGCCTTTTCGCTTGAATGCAAGGAGTCGAATGACTTGAAGGCGCTGTTAAATGATGCCTGGAGACTGGTGAATGCGTCGCGGACGGCAGAGTGGAGAGATTCGGATAGGTATCGGGGATCATCTTCGTTGAGTCGAGGTGTGATGTCGATATCTCCATCTTCCACTTCACCTCCGAGGAGAATGTCAGTCCACCGGGTGCGGCGTAGAGAATCAATGAATTCGTTGACTTCTTGGATTGACGCTAGCCATGATTCATACTTCGTAAGGACGGTAGAGATATCTTCGTCACGACCCAATAATCTGTCGGCAACGGTTTGTTTGAATGCCTGTGCACCGTTCGAGTATTCTGCAGTAATGAGATCGGCATCCCACAGAGATCCGACGGAGTTGTGGTCGGTCTTCTCCCAGTTTGATATTATAGACGAAACTTGAGTACCGACGTCGCCTAGACTTTGCGCTTTCATATTCAGGATTCTGGAAAGCTGGTTATTGAAGATATTTCGAAGACTCCCGAGGACATCCACGGAGCTGTGAATGATGGTTGAGCCCCAGGATGATAGCCATAATTCCACAGTCTCCGCACGGAGCGAGAGAAGCTCGGAGAAGTCGGTGCTTTGGGCGAGGCTCTTTTGGCAGCCTTCAGAGAATTTCGTGAAAGCTTGGAGGGACCATTCCTTGGTTGATTCCACACCCTCGACTCTGCTTAGTTCGCTGAGCTTGACCCAGGGAGTGAAATTCTTCACATCTGGAGCTACCCAGCGGCCAAGAACTTCAACCTCCAGCCCATCTAGACTCTGAATCTCTGGGTCGGCGAGGAGAGGCCGAGCCTTAAGCTTCGAAAGCACATCTGGGAATTGACGGGATCGCAAGACCTTTGAGGCCTGAAGGGTCTGAACAAACAGCTGGAGGGCTTTAGGAATGTTCTCACTAGACACATCCAACTGGCTGACAATAACGTCCAGGCGCACTTGGTGAAAATGATCAATCGCATCATCGGAAGACGAGCTCGTTGCAAGGCAGTAGGCGGCCAATGATTCAATGATAGTATCGTCTGTGGCGTTTGTAGAGGCAAGGCGTTTATCAATCCGTTTGAAGAGTATTCGCCAGAGGGAGGCTAGCTGATTCCGGAGATCATGAATGAATGGAGGGAGTGATTCATGTTGCGATAATGCCTTGTGTAATGATCGAGAAACAACTAGAATCTTCGCAACCAACAAAAGCGAGCTGCGTCGTCGCAAAAGCCGGCTGGCAGAGGTTGTACAACGGTGAAGGAGAGAAAGCTGCGCTCCAAATGAGTGCTTCTCTGCATCTATGCTCACAATATCAGCTATAAATTCCTGATTTCCTCATAGGGCTACCTTTCATGGCTTTCGTACCTTTCTCGGCGTCACCGGACTTTATTTGCCGGACATGAACATGTCTCCTTTCTATAAGTCGTGGGTTGCACCGGCGTCCAACATCGGCCAGAATGGACTCCACATCTTGAATGTCTCTGTTCATGGCGACAATCGTCTCAGCAGTTCCAACTAGGTCACGATATCGCGTGCTATAATCAAATCATAAAGATCAGCAACGAAACCGCTACTCTGGCAGATCAATCACCTACCCTACGAGAGCTCGGAGCTTCTCCTTATTGCTCGCGATGTCCCGGCGCAACTCCTGTTCCACACGGCGGACCGTTGGAATTGGGTATTGGAATGCATCGTGCCATGACTTCAAGCTTTGAGGATCAGGCGCCTCAGGAGCCATGCTGCGGGGTGTGTGATGAGACCGTTGGTTTATAGAGAACAAGTAATCCATGCGACATGGGCGGATGCCTGAGCGCCTTAGACCCCTGGATCGTCCTTATCGTTATCGGCACGTGATGGCAGAAAAAGTTCCCCGCCACCGAGGGGAAATGGATCGCCCGGATATCGTCAGCGATCTTATACTTTACACAAACGATATTCAATATGCCATTGCTGGAGTCCGATGCTGCTATGGCAGAGCCTTCAACCAATGATGTCCCTGATCATCTCCCTTTCCCGCCCACCACCTACTCCCATATATTGCATTGCTCTTATCATGATTGGCATCCGCGGTAAGGTTTCATGTATGACTCAACACAAAACATGTCTGACTGAAGTTCTAGGTACCGCACACTTGCACCCAAGTCACGGGTAATTCCCTTGACGCCTGCTTTTGTTGAATACCTCCGCGCCGACGGCATTGTTCTACCACCCGAGGCTGTCGCTCCAACCGACGATGATAACCTGGACACATTCTCCGATTCGGGCGAGGAGGAGGAGGCTGATCCATCCACAGAGTGGCACGAGATTCACACTCAGATAAAGAATACTATCTTTGAACTCGGCGGCATTGTCACACCTAAATTGAACTGGAGTGCTCCCAAAGATGCAACATTCATGGCCGCCACGAACGATACTCAATGTCGTTCTCCAAATGACATCTACCTCCTCCTGAAAAGCAGCGACTTCATCACCCATGATTTAGACCATCCATTTGACGACTGTGTGCCGGATACAACCACCGGCGAACCTTCACCATCAACCGTTGACGCACCGTTGCCGGATGTGCCATATTCCCTGGTTCTCCGCAAGTACGTCAACTTCAACCCTTCACTCGAGTTCCGTTGCTTTGTGCGCAACCGCGTCCTGCTCTGTATTACCCAACGTGATCAGAACCACTTCGACTTCCTCTTCCCCATGCGTGACATGCTCCGGTCTCGGATCCAGTCATTCTTCGATGAGAAGCTCAAAGACACCTTCCCGGAACCCAACTTTGTATTCGACGTCTATATCCCTGCACCGCACCAGCGTGTCTGGTTGATTGATATCAATCCATGGGCGCAACGTACCGACCCATTGCTGTACAGTTGGTTGGAGATTCTCCGGATGAAGGATCCAATTGGGGTGCAAGAGGAAGAAGATGATGGAGCAGAAGAATTTGTGAGGATCTCCCTCCAGGACGGGAAGATTATGACTACCGACACAGCGGAAGAGCTGGAGAAAGGTGATGATTTGGATTCTTCTGATTCGGAGGAAGAAGATAAGGGCGCCGAAGGAGATGATGAACAGGCCCCCTTCCTACCAGAATTCCGTCTCATCAAAAAGGATGATCCTGAGGCGTACGCATTCAGCTCTACTCAGTACTCGGCTCATAAGGTGCCAAGGGAGCTGGTTGATGCTTCGCTTGAGGGACCTGGCGGCATGAGTGAATTCATGGGCCAGTGGCATGACATCTTGAAGAAGCAGGAGCAAGAGGATCGGGATGCCGGTAGCGACTCCGAATAAAATAATCCCAACTCAAAGCGCTGAGTGGGACAAAAGCATGGTTTTTGGTATAAAGGCGTTTAACTATAGCAGGGGAATGAATTATGGGAATTGCAAGGTTGCATCGTGCATTACAGATCAATAGACGCATTATCAATGAATAAAAAATCAATATGTAATTGTTGCCTGCGGTCTGTAGTAGTCATAATTACCCACATACCCAGACAGATGGATCTGTGTCACAATGTGTAAGAGTCATGAGTTCGTAGGCCTAGAAGGTATATTATATCACCAAATGGGGATCAATTACCTCTCATATGGTGCTCATCATTTCAATGCATCGCTTTAAAGATCAAACTAATGTATAAAACGACACTCAAACCCCGAATAGTTATACCGAGAAAAACCCAGGAATAGCATCTACTGAAGTGAGACCACAGAAGATGCACCGCAACCTCTGATAGTTGTATACAAAGATTTCCCCCAACAACTAAAGCTTATGTCTCTTCTCACCAGACGCCAACCTGCGGAACTCTTCCTGAGGGAGCCCCATCATAAAGCGCTCAAGGCCCATAAACGCCTCAAGACCATTCTGGCGATCCAAAAGTTCCCTCTCAGGCCGTCTTACTAGCTCCTTAATCTTTAGTAGACTAGTCTGGTTCAAGTGTGTACCAAGACGATCATCAACCTCCTCAAGCACCTTCTTCAAGAACCCATCAGAGTCCTCCTGCTTCCCAGACTCCGACGCGATGACCTTATTCACAAAGCCAGTCGAAATAAGCTCGTCACAGCTAATCCGCTTGCTCATGATGAGCGCCTCGTTGGCTTTAGCAATCCCCAGACGCTCGACGAAGGCGCGGCTAGCACCGCCTTCAGCAACGAGACCCAGCGAGGAGAATGGGGTCAAGAGGAATGTGTGCGGGGCAGCGTAGATGAAGTCAGCGTGGGCGACTAGTGCGGCTGAGAGACCAACAGCAGGCCCGTTCAGGGCGACAACAAGAATCTTGGAGTGATTGTAGAAGGTGCGGGTGACGTCGACATTATTTGCGACAAATCCCTTGACTAGCTCGCGACGCGCGCTTGAGCTGAGGTCTCCATTGCCAGGACGTGTGCTTGTTACGTCGGCTCCGCTATGGAGAGGACACGAGTGTTAGATATAGTAGATCTTCTCAAGTTTCCTTTTTGGGATATAGTTCGATATCTAGGGCTGGCTGTGAATGACATACGCAGAGAAGAAACGACCTGTTCCAGTCAGGACTGTGATAAAGATATCCTCCCGTGAGTCAACCTCGCGGAGACGCTCGCCTAGAAGGTAGTACAGGTCGGCATTGAGAGCGTTCAGCTTGTCGGGCCTGTTCAATGTCACGATCGCTACGCGATCCTGGTAGGCAACGGTAATGAGGTGCTCGTTCGACATTGCTACTGTATATTGTAGAAGAAAATGGGTCAATGGAATACAAAATTAAACTGGGATTCATTAGTTTATCAATCGTCTCTATGCAGAATATCCGGGAGAGTTTGCGGGGAGCCGAGGCCCGCGGTGAACTATGCAGTGGTGCCTGAGGCCAAATATAACTACCGGTTTGTCTTGTTTGCTCAAATCCAAGTAAGCACGACGGCCCACACGCCATGGCACCATTCGGCGATTGAAGATCGACTACACATTATCGATACTCTCTGTCTGCTGGAATCAGGCGGTGTTATAAATTAAGCGCATCCGAAAATAGCGTCGAACGACAATCCACACTCTTAGCAATACCTGAAGCCAAAAAGACCCCGAGAAAAAAATAGGAACGCATCAAACCTATACAATGTCGCAAATCTTCAAGAAGTTGCAGGGAGGCAACCTCGAAGTCCTCAAGGTGCGTAGCTGAGAAACATGTTGTTGGGCGGGCTGTACCAGCTCCCACCTTCCTTGGTCTGTCGGGACTAACAGAGTCCATGTAGTTTGGCATGTACGTTCTCTTCCCCATCGGCTGGATGTACTATTTCGGCACCAACCTCGACGACCGCTTCGCCACAAAGGGCTTCTGGCCCACAGCTGAGCAATCGCACAAGATCCCACTGGACAAGGAGGAGATTGACCAGGAATTGGCACGTATGCGCATGGTGGATGCCATGAAGCGGGAGCGGAGACAGGCGGCGGAAGCACAGCTCCAGGCAACACAGAGTGAGCAATGAGGTCGCAATTAGTGGATAAGATTGAGAGGAGCTGCTGGCGTGGTTTGGAACTCGACATGTGCGCATTGTCTAAGTTCCCGGGAAAACCAAGAGCCCTGCGCAAGGAGCCGTTGATGTTCTCGTTCCCTGTATTCCCGGGGATTTATGGTGATCGAAAACAAGATTGGCATCGCGCTAGGGAGTTACACATGTGCTGATGATGGGTTTACTTGTACAACACTCTGCTCTGGGCATCGAGGGCGTTTTGGGGGTTTCATTTTATATGTTGCATAGTTCAACATCATATTGCCTTTTTCTATCATCTATCATCTACATTTCCTGTACATCATTCTAGAAAAGTGTGCAAATATCAACTTCAATCATGATCACATTCCAATGATAACACAAACTGGTATCGATCGACCACAGAACTCTGCCAGAGGCATATCTGTAGATAGTGTGGTGCGAATGACCCATGAAAAGAATAGACAAGAATTAATAATAATGTAATTCGCCGCTCTGCGACAATGCAGTTATAGGGATGCCGCAAGTCCCGGTAAGACAAGAACGCCAGCCGACAGGAAGCGTGGATATGAAGCTCCCTTGGATATGAAATATAAAACTCCAAAGGTATTAGACAGTTCCTCCATCTCCGCAATAGAGAAAGCAAGTGCAAGCATTATGCGGGTCGGGCTTTAATTCACAGCTCAGCCATGCGCTCGGTCGAGGTGGCAGCGGCATTCTTTGCCGTCTCGTACATCATGTCCCCAATTTGGGTGGCCACTCCGTTTTCGCCAAAGACCGAGCTGATTGACAACCGACCGGAGCTGAACAAGCGCTCGCCGGCCCAGTAGTAGTAGAGGCGGCCGTAGATGGCGCGGAGGTGGTCGGGGAGGTAGATGTAAGTTCCCATGGCGATCATACCAATGAGTCCAAGGAGAAGTGTGTCTGAACAAGTAATTAAATATTAGTATGGTATGGTAAGTACATTTTAGACGGGAAACAGGCGCAACGTACTGAAGATGAACTTCTCGATCGGAGTAAGCATGTAGAGGGAGAAGGTCACCTCATACTGGTAGATCTTCAATCGCATCCAGCGGAAGAGGCTAGACACTGCCCAGATAATGAAGTCCATGGCTGCGGGGTATTCAAGGGATTGTGGGATGCTCCAGTTTGTCGTTGATTCTTGCGGTTTGCGGTGCCGTTCGTTCAAAATTTTTCTCCGCTAAGTACCGCCAATTGCAATGACAAGAGGCAGATTCTAAAGACAGTCGTATCGAAGATGGGAACTGATTTATGCCCAGCGGAAATACTGGTGTTGCGAAGGAAAAAGTGAGCGATGGTGTCCCAAATCAACACGGTTCGGGAGTGTTGACGTTAGGCCACCGGGTATCGCGGGGAGATAGGCGACTGAGGGAGGTTCGGTGCAATTAGGACAAGCGTATCAGCACGGAGACGTTGAAGTAGATTAACGATAGAAGTAAGGAAGAGGGGGCGGATAGGAATTCATGAAACTGGGGGAACTGCAAAACCCTTCCCCTTTCCGTGTTTGCCGCAAGAGTTTGTACCGAGTACACATGTTTACCCCTACTTCACGCCTGTGTTTCAGGTACTCGGTACTTCAGGTTTCGGAGTGTACAATTTGTAGATGCCACCTTGAACAGCATAATTCTCTCGAATATCTATATGCATATCCCTATGTACATATGTCCTTATATCTCCTCAATTCCATAAAGCTATCTGTCCAAATCGTGGTCTCGGCGGTCTGCAGGCTACAATATTCCACATGATAGCTTATCTACCTTATCGCAGACATCGGCGGCAGTAACCTCCGGAGGTCTTTTGAAGGTGAACCTTCAAACCATAGCACGAACAAAATGCTTCGCCTACACTGGTGGGCATCATCCCGAATAGTAGCAGTTCCAGTCCGACTCTTCAGCCAAACCCCTATTGTCCCAGCAAAACCCCTCCCCCCACGGCTCAAGATCAACGATGCCGACATATCAATATCCTACCTTAAAGGCACGGGGCCTGGCGGACAGAAGATCGTATGTCTCAAGTTCCAATCGCATTCCCGGGCCACTCCCTCCCTCTCCTTTCGCTTCCCGGAACCCATTGCCATCCTCGACCGGCAAACTAAAGCTAACAAACCTAGAACAAAACCAATTCAGCCGTGCAAATCATCCACAGGCCCAGCGGGGTGGTAGTCAAATGCCAAGCGACTCGGTCACAGTCGCAAAATGCGAAAATTGCGCGCTCGCTGCTCGCCGATAAAATCGAGGCGCAGGAGAAGGGGGATAAAAGTCGAGTTGCGATTAAAGCTGCAGCGGCGAAGAAGAAAAAGGCTAGTAAGATGAAGAAGACAAGAAGGAAGTATCGGGAGCTTGCCGAGGGGGAAAAGGTTATTGAGGAAGAAGAGGACGAGATTGAGATTATATGGGACGAGGATGTGAAGGAAGATGTAAAGGAAGATGTAAAGGAGGGAAGTACGGAGGCTACACCGGAAGTTGGCGATGAGTCTGAATCGTCCGCTGGAGATTCTGGAAAGCGTGTATGATATGAGATGTGTGTTGCATACATCTATGTTTTGGGAATCTGTATACTAGGCTGCATTAGTGTTTGAGCGTTTACTTTGAGAGATCTACATTTTCACAGGATGATCTTCATAATGGGAAATCAAAAAAAGCATTTATTTCATGGATCTAGTGTCTCATCGCAGCATGCATATGGTGTAGGGGGTGATTGGGAAAATGATTGCATTACTCTGAAGGAGAAAGCAAACACACATAGGTTGAACTTTTTTAGTTTCTTGGAACAGAAGGAAGGGGTCATAGGTCATAGCCAAGGAACTACTAAGAGATGTAACTTGCAAGTACAGTCTTGGACTGTTCATCAAGGCGCTCCTGGGCGAATTGCGAAATGCGGCCATTCTGCTTCTTGTCGGCTTCCTTGAGGTATGAGCCAACCCAAGCCTTGAGATCGGCACCAGTCTCGGGCCACGGGTCCTTCTGCTGGATACGGATGGTGTTCAGGGGAGTAAACCCAACACCGAATGACATATCTTCGATGTCTGCATCGTTAATGACATCATCCCTGCTAGCAGGCAGAGGCGGAAGCTCGAGGAGCTTGAGCAAGGCGGTGCAGGTGAAACCCCATCCCTTCTGGCTGTAGCGAGTAGCGAAAGCCTCCGAGTTGGCAAGGGTCTTGGTGAAGGAGATGATAGCCGTTTTGCGGTCCAAAGGCCGGGCAAGCTTCTGGGTTTCAGGAAGGATGACCTTGACATAGATGGGGGTGAATAGCCTGGGCATAAATTAGCATATGAGAAATGTACACAGGGCGATGACACATACCCCTCTTGCACCTTGTCGGTGACCTGGATGACAAAGTCTGCGCTGTAGCCCTTGTTGTCCTGGGCCGAGATGAAGTGGAAGAAGCGGATAAAGCGAAGAGTCAGGTTCTCTGTCTTGGAGTTCTGCAGACGTTGAAGAATGATCTGCATGATCATAACAAAGTAGTTCTCAAGGGCAGTCCTAGCGAAATTGAAGTCAGCCAATAGTCAATTGGGCGGTTGGGACAAGCGATACGTACGGTGGGAAGTTAGCAACAACTGTTTCCAGGAGATCAAAGCCAAAGCTCTCGTTAGTCTTGGTAGAAACTAGCTTTTGGAAGATACCAAGGATGGGCTCGATCTGGTTGTGCTCGATGATGTACTGCGAGCCACGGGGAATGATCGAGGAAAGTAGCCGAACCAAGGCAGGAATATTTCCCTTCGACTCCCACATAACGGGCATCAGGATAGGGCCAATAAGCTCCTGGTAGTAGGTAGGAAGGGTGCCTGATGGGTTAGCCTCAAGCAGCGCCGCGAAAAGCTGGAAGATGTAGGGCATGAATTCTGAGATATGTCAGTAAGGGGCTGTTCCGACAAAGATAGAGACTTCGTTTGATTGACTCACCCTGCACATCATTCTGGAGGACACCTGCGAATGGTGCATACAGAGCCTGCTCAAGCTTGTCGGGATTGGCAGGAGCGGCAAATCTATTATCATATTAGCTTCATGTAATTGGTAAGGAATTGGATGTTAGAAACACACCGAATGAAGGCTCCCATGGCTTCAAAGTGGAAGTAGTAGAAACGGGGGTTACTTGGGTTTGCACTGATGATATTGGTGATGTTGATGAGGCGCTGGAGGACGACATCGGTGAAGGGAACCACGCCTTCTTTGATCACAACCAAGACCCGCATCACGCAACGCATCAAGAACTCGTTCTCTTGCACTTTTTCAGGGGCAGGATTACTCTGGATCAGCTGGAAGATGTGTTCGAGGAGATCCTTGGCAAGCGGTGTGATCTCAGTGGGTGGAATGACTGGTAGTCCTTGGCTATCGGTGAGGAAAAGTACTCGCTCCAAAGCAATGGCAGCATAGGTGTAGACAACGAAATTCGACGACGCCAAGTGCTTCACCAGCACAGGTAGAACCTGCTGCCACTGTTCCTTGGTGATGATACTGCGGAAAGTGTACAAATACTTAATAGCGTCGACCTTCAGGATAGGGTGGACGCCATCCTCGTTGATCAGATCCGCGGCTAGGTTCTGCTGGAAGTAATCCGTGATACTGACCAACTGGTTCGTGGCAGTGACACCGTGTGAGGAGGTCGCGGTGCCCTTGGCGGCGATCGCAGAGTAAAGGTACGTCGCTGTGTCCTTCGCCTTCCAGTTGGATGAATCATTGGCATACTCGGCCAGGTAGTGCTGGGTGTACTTGAGGACAACCTGGGTCACTGGCTCTTCGAATTTCTCTGCCAGTTTGCGGAGGAAATCAGTGGCAGCCCGGCGTCTGGTCTCGCTGTCAGACCCTTCCAAGTCTCGTCGAATGAACTCAATTGGCTCATCCTCGAAGAGTTCTTCGTCGGACTCGCGGAGGCTCACGTTCGGTAAAATGACCTTTTCGACAATCTGGCCCAAGGTTTCCTCGGCTTGGAAAGAAGCAGCATGTTCGGGCATGCCTGCGACCGATGTCAAGAAGTGCAGTGCCCGACTGACCAAAATGTCGTACTTGGTCTCCTGGCCGATGGTTGTGAGGAAATTCCACGAGCTCCCAATGAACTGTCCAACTTGAGGCTGGAACACATCCATGTACTTCTGCACGTACAGAGTCAAAGCCTCAAATATTCCAGCCCGAACATACTCCAAAAGACCAGCCTCCGTCTCGTCATCGGTGTGGAGTAATTCGTTATCGTAGGTCAGGTATTTGAGGAAGATTGTGGCGATTCCGGAGATGTTGTCCTCAAACATGGGAGGGAGATCGTGGGAGGAAAGGTCGTAGAACAACTTGACCATCAGGTTGAGTTGAGTGAAGCCCTGGGACAGGTTCTCTTTGTTGGTCTTGTTTTGCTCAAGATAGGTGTCTAGTGCCTATGGTGTGTTAACATCCGACCTATCAAAGCAGAAAATGGGTAGAAAATTCAAGATACCTCAAATTGGGCTAGAAACGGAGTACCGAACTTGCCAAGAACGTGGTTGATCTCTGTGTAGAGGGCATCGGACTGGAACAAAGGTCTCCATCTCTTGAAAATTGAGTGTGCGACTTGCAACACACCAATGTTGACGGTGGGGTTGCCCGGTGACAGCTTCGAGACGAGGTCCTGGAGAAAACAATTCGTCAGAAATAGCAGTACAATGCTTGATTGGGGCGCAACTTACATCAACCAGAGTATCCCACCGCTCCCAGAAGTCACTGTCGGCGATCACACTGACGGCCTCACCCAATTGACTCTGAATGCCTGGCGGAACCGAGATCATCAAGGAGATCAGCTCGCGCTTTAAAGTAGTAACTTCATCCTGTTGCAACTTGTAATTTCCATCTTCGTCGGTCCAGTTGCGCTTGATGAAATTCTTGAAGCATAGAGCACTAGCAAGGCGTGTATTGTAAGGTGTAGTCTCCGATGCGGTGATGTGAAGAAGCTGTAGCGAGAAACCGGGCTTCTGTTCTTCCTGACGAAGAGTAATCTCGGCTGAAAGAGGAAAAAACCATATCAGTCAACTATCCTTCTAGCATTTGAGTGTCAACTCTTATAACTCACCTGCCTTGTTTTGCCTGGGGTCCAAGCTTGCCTCTAACAGAGCTCCAAGACCCTCCGCCATCTTGTTACGTGGGGTATCAACACAAGTGAGGGGGATAGATTAGGGAAGAAGAAGAGAACAAGATAAATGGGGCCAGAAAGAAAGTAAGATCTCAGGTGGCTCAAAATGGAGTAGGAGTGTTGACAAAACACAGAAGGAAAAAGATAAAAGATCCAAAGCTCAAAGATAATGCGAGCGCTCAATAAATTGTAATAACCCACATAAACACTGCCAATACGCTAAGCCCAATGAGGTTAGTACGTCACATGCTGGAGCCTCTCTCTGCCTCAGGTGTCATCCCTGATATTCTGAATGAGCGGTTTGTTGTATGGATAGAGATAGTATATATATAATTGAAGAGTAGTATTATATGTGATAACTATTTTTATTTAAATTCTCTATATTCATATGCTTTTCGTGACAAATACAAACTCCTGTGGAACCATCGTGTGGAACCATTCATGCTTTAGACAATAATATTGGCAACGCCGTTAGCCAAGTCCATCTCCTGAGCCTGAGACAGAGCCTGGACCTGGTCGAAGCAGCCAGCTGCAGCGGAAAGGAATCCGAGGAATGGCTTGCTGGGTGCCAACACACGAGAAATGTACTCGGGGTGGAATTGAACACCCACGAACCAGGGGTGCTCCTTCAGCTCAACAATTTCCATGCGCTCGCCCTTGTCATCCTTACCGATGAAGTGAAGACCGGCAGCCTGGAGCTGGTCGATATACTCGGGGTTAACTTCATAGCGGTGGCGGTGGCGCTCATCGACAGAAGTCCGGTCCAATCCGTAGAGAGAACGGAGCTTAGACCATTCGGTATTCTCCTGGAAGAGGGTAGGACGGGAACCAAGACGCATAGTACCGCCGAGGTTCACCTGGTCGATCTCAGGCATGTACACCACGATCGGATGGGAGGTAAGCTCGTCAAGTTCAACTGAGTTGGCACCCTCCAGACCACAGACGTTACGAGCGTATTCAATCACGGCAATCTGCATACCCAAACAAATACCAAGGTAAGGCTTGTTCTTGGTACGAGCGTGGTGAGCAGCGCGCATCATACCGTTGGTACCTCTGGTACCGAAGCCTCCTGGGACCAGAATTCCATGGGCAGTGTGGACATCATACCAGGCCTTGTGGTACTCCTTGGAGTTGGTCTCCTCCCACTCGGTTTCAAGGTGAGAGGCATCGACCCAAATGATGTTGAGCTTTCGGCGGGAAGCCATAGCCGCGTGCTCCAGCGACTTGATGACGGACAAGTAAGAGTCGTGAAGACTGACATACTTGCCAACCAGAGCAATGTTGACGGTTTCAAATGTGTGCTCCTGCGCAGTTGTAAGGGTCTTCCACTGTTTCCAAGTGGCCTGACCCTTTAGCAACTGGGTTTGAGGAATTTGGAGCTTCTTCATGTTGAGAAGGTCACCCAGGACACCAAGG